TATTTGTGAGAGGAGACCAGCTCTTTCCACCTCTCCAGCTGCTAGTGTAGACTGCTCCCCGCCTTCTCTGAACTAACCCGCTCCCCACTTGGCTGTTTCCTTTGCTAGCAAGGCAATCATATTTTATGTAAGTGATTTAAACTCCACAAATACACTTTAAAGAAAGATTTATTGGATACAATGCGAAAGCTATACAACTCAGCGCTTTCCAGTGTAGTGCCATGGTTTTTAGCATATCCACAGGACTGTACAATCGTCACATTTTAGAACATGCTTGTCACCCTGGGAGATGCTCTGTATCCATTCGTGAGCAGGTCCCCCAAGCCCCAGCCTCCAGCAAGTGCTCTAAAGTGCCTGTTCTGGGCATTACGTGTAAGGACAGCAAACCGCATACGAGGGGCCTTTGCTTCAGGCTCCTGTGACTTGACCCTGTGTTTGCAGGTTCATCACGATCCGCGATCCCTTCTTTGCTTGAATCTTCTGACTGTAACGGGGTGGTAGAGGCTCAGGAGACGGAGCCTTCTCGTTTGGCCTGGGACTAAGAGGACCGGAAGGTGGCTCTCTGAACGCTTGGAACGCTCTCTGGGAGTTGCAACGGAGTGGTCCTGCTCCTGGCTTGGCTTTGCTTCACCCTGGAACGTCCTGGGCACGTTTCACAGGTTAGAGCCGCCAGAAGGCAGACTTTTGGTTTTGGCCAGCCAGGCTCCACAGTCAGGGAACTCTGGGGCCTTCTGAATCCTGACGGTGAAAGTGGAGTTGAAAGGGCGTCTGCGCTTTCCTTAGGGTGTGGCCTGTGCTTCCGTTTGTGGCAACAATTCCCTTCTCTCCTTCTTCCTCCCGTTCCTCTTTCTTTCTTCTCTCCCTCTGCCTCTTATTTCTCTTCCTCCCTGCTTTCTCCCCCTCCTTAGTCCTCTTCCTCCCCTTCGTCCTGTTCTTCCTCTTCCTCCTTTCTCTTCTTCATGGTTCCGGGGACTGAAGTTGGTAAACCCAGAGCTACATTCGCCAGACCTTTTAAAATGTTTTGGTTGGGGTCAGGGTCTTGTTAGGTTGCCCAGGCTGGCCTTGAAATCCTTCTGCTGCCTCAGCTTCTAGCTGTGTGCCACCTTGCCCGTTAATATTTGAAAAACAAGAATAACCTAGAAAACAAACAATATGTTGTTGGAATTTCTGATTGAGATTGCTTTGAATTTATAAATTGGGAAGAATTTCCCATCTTTTTTAAAAATTGAGTTTATTGGTACATTCTAGGCATACAGTAAGGAATTTCCCATCTTTATGGTAATCTTCCAGGCTATGACCTTGATATAGTTTTCCATTTATATATATATACATATTTTATTTTTTATATCTTCCTTAAAGGTACATAATTAACTTCATAAATATCATGTTAACTGTTTATACCAAATATCCTAGGCATGCATATTTTCTGCTATTATAAATTATAGATGAAAAAAGTTGCAGAGGTTGAGGCAGAAAGATGGAGGCCAGCCTGGACTGTAGAAAGAGAACCTGTCTCAAACAAGCAAACAAACATTGATAAATGGTTATGATTTGAAAAACTTATCATGCGTCTAAAAACACTGCTTTTGTATTACTAGTCTTGTATGCAACAACTTTACTGAGTTTTACTGGGGTCTTTGGAGAGGGTGTTCTGGGGATTGAACCCAGGGCCTGTATACACTGAGCTACTTCTTCAGCCCTTTTTTATTTTTTAATTTTGAGACAGGGTCTTGCTAAACCACTAAGTTGCCCAGCCTTGCCTGGAAATTGCACACTTCCACCCTCAGCTTCCCAGTGTCTCCACCACTCCTGGATGAGCTATAGTTTTAATTTCAATTTAATGTTATTTTTTGTTCTGGGGATTGAATACTAGATTATCTCAAACAGCACTGTCCAATATAGTGTGAGCCATGTGTGTAATTTAAAATTATCTCCAGCAGGGTGTGGTGACGCACGCCTGTAATTCCAGCACTCAGGAGGCTGAGGCAGGAGGATCGCTGAGTTCAAGACCAGCCTGGGCTACATAGTGAGTTCCAGGTCAGACTCAACTACATAGTGAGACCCTGTCTCAAAAAACAACAAAACAAAAGAAAAATTGCTAGTAGACATATAAAAAAGTAAACAGGTAAAATTAATTACTTTTTATATATGTTGGGCTGGGGTGTAGCTCAGTCACAGAGCACTTGCTTAGTATCCACAAGGCCCTGGGTTTGATCCTCTGAACTGCCCCCTGCAAAGTAATATATTTGTTTATTTAACTCAAGTTACTAAAATATTATTTTGATAAATAATATAAAAAACAATTGTACTTTCTCATACAGAGTCTTCAAAATTCATGTATGTTTTTACACTTTATAGTGTGTCTCAATTTAGACTGGCCACATTTCAAATCCTTACCACGTGTGGCCGGTAGTGACCATATTGGACAGTACTTCTGGATATTTTGGATGTCCTCTGAGGGTAATTATATGGATTGAGTTTTTTGTTTATTTTTGTAATTTTTATTTATTCATTTATTTTTGGTACCGGGGATCAAACTCAGGACCTTATGCTTGCAAGAAAGGTGGCCGCACCACTGAGCTAAATCCCCAGCCCTTGTTAGTCCATGTTTGCTGCACATTTTTTTAAAATACATTTGCCTTTAGAGTTTTAACATGAATAGTGTGTTCTTTTTTTTTTTTTTTTTTTGTACCAGGGATCGAACTTGGGTCTTCAGGCTTGTGGGGCAGCGGGTGGCCCCACTGAGCTAAATCCCTGGTCCATTTTTGCTGTATGTAATGTTTGCATTCCTTATGTGGGGCTGGTGCATGTACAGAACACATCTTCATTCCTTTTCTCCTTCCCTGTCGTTCCCCTCCCCCTGCTCCCTCTCTGGATCCCCTTCCCTTTTGAGAAAGATTGATCTTTCTACTTCCTATTATCTACCTTTTATTTGGCTCTGTATATTTTAGGCTTGTACACAGTGGCGTACTACTCTGTCATAAAAATAAACTTGAGTTATTTGTAGGGAAATGGACACACCTTGAGATCATAATGTTAATGAAATAAATCAGACACATGAGGTTTAAATATCAAATTTAAAAAAATGTTTTACAGCTGGGTGTGGTGGTGCACGCCTGTAATCCCAGCACTCGGGAAGCTGAGGCAGGAGGATTGCTGTGAGTTCAAGACTAGCCTGAGCTACATAGTGAGACCCAGGTCAGTCTCAACTACATAGTGAGACCCTGTATCAAAAAACCAAAACAAACAAACAAAAAATGTTTTACAGTATTTTTTTTTTTTTAGATAGTATCTCACTACACAGTCCACATTGTCTTCAAACTTGGGAACTTCTTGCCTTGGTCTGTTAAGTGCTGGGACAACCGTTGTGCATCACCACACTGACTTGATAATTTCATTTCTCCGGTCTTGTGTACCCCCACCTTTTCTGTTTTACTTTGCTGGCAAAGATCTGTTGTGAAAAAAAGAAATGGAAGCGGTGACATTGTCACTTTTGTCTCTTGATTTGAGAAAGTTGACAACACTTTCAGTTAATGTGTGATGTTTGCTTGAGATTTCTGGTTGGTATTCATGTTAGGTTAGGCGGGACTCTCTTTTAATTCTTGTATAATAAGTACATAAATGTATTGAATATGTGTAAAGAAATGGGTGCCTGAGTTTATCAAATGCATTTTCTTCATGAGATTGTCAGATGATTTTGCTTTTATCTCTTGTAGTGACTGACTTTAAGCCTATGCTTGTTGATTGTACTCTGGTTTCTACTCGTGGCTGAGACCTAGGGCCACAGCCACCCAGGCAGTTTCCCAAGTACAGAGGACAGTCAACCTTTTCAGTAGGTTGGGCTTCCAGTTTTTTTTTTTTTTTTTTAGCATCTGTTCCCAGGTTGACGTCTTCTGCAGCTTCTGTGCTGGCCACAAGGGGGTGCTGCTTCCCTATAGGGCTCAACAAGCCGACCAGCTAAGGTCGAGTATGTGGTGTTTCCTTAATAGTTGAAAATGCCTGTTGCTATTGCATTCTTTTTTTTTTTTTTTTTTTTTTTTTGAGTCACATTATCCAGGTATTGTAGTGCATGACTGTAATCCTAGGCTGAGACAGGAGGAGCACAAGTTGGAGCCCAACCTGAGCAATTTAGTGAGGGCTAGGACGTAGCACAGGGTGAAGGCCCTGGGTTCAGTCCCCGGTATTGAAAATAACATCAAAACACATCTATGATTTTCATGTGAAAATTTATGATTTAAATTTAAATTAAGGCAGATGATGAATAGTCTGCATGCCTTCCCTGTGGGTAGAGAATTTGCATCTTCAACCAACCGAAAATCAGAAACAACAAAAATGCATGGGTACTGTCCATGCACAGTTTTAAAACTGTAAATACAGTACAGATAACAGTGATTCACATTGATTTAGGTGTTACCCTTAATTTGGAGATGATTTAAGGTATATAGAAAGGCCTGGTGTGTTGGCACATGACTGTGATTCCCCCATACTGTAAGAACGTGAGGCAGGAGAATCTCTTTTGAGCCCTGCCTGGGCAACTTAGTGACAGGGAGACCCTACCTCAAAAAATCAATCAATCAATCAATCAAAAGCGCCGAGGGTAAAGCAGCTAGTGCTAAAGCCCTGGGTTCAATCTGTAGTCCAGTGGACCCCCAAGTTTACAATTGCAGCCTGACATAACGATCACGACCAGAATTTTAGTTTTAACATACTAAGTCGAGTCATGACCTCCTTTACAGAGCTCTGGAAGCAACATTTTAATATCCTTTCCTGGGTGAAGTTGAGAAATCCTGGATCAGTACCTAAGGACAGTGCGATGTACCTGTATACAGGAGAGAAATTTAAGGCTGGGAAGGGGAATTTTAAATTGATCAATTAAGCTCATATGTTAATGTCCACTGTACTGAAAGTTTTGTACTTAAGTGAGAACATATTTATGTATTATAACTCACCTCAAAACACATGAAAAAAACCTCTAAGCCATTTTCTAACCACGGTAATTTCTCTTGTTAGAACAAGACCTCAAAAACTAGTTTAAGACTCAAAACAGTTCCTTTACTGTAGAAATCTTTAGTAGAAAGCAAAAGACTTAACGCTATTTGAAGAAAAACCAGGGCAGATGAGGTTTGTGCAACTCCTACTGGAGTAACTACAACTCCTTGTAAAGTCATGGTGACTAGTTACCTAAAAATTTACAATTTGCAGAAGTTTACTTCATTAATTCTTTATACACTACTCTTCAAATTTTTAAAATTAGAAGAGGGGATAAGTTTATCCTCATGAAAGTAGTTGCATGGTTTTCACGACACTATGGATATGCAAATGAGAGTTGAATAATTGCCTTTGAGACTTGCCGGTTGGTCGGTGGTAGAGGAGGAAGGCTTTGCTCCTTGGGTTTCCACAGTCACAGTCACCAGAGAGATTCTGATTTTGTGTTTGTATCCTGGGGCTTTGAATGTGACTTCTTTTAAATAGAGAAGTGGTTTTCAATTTTTGTTTTGAGACAGGCACTTGCTAAATTGCCCAATATGGCCTCAAACTCTTGATCCTCCTGCCTCTGCCTGCCCCCTGTGTAGCTGGGATTATACGCATGACAGTTAAGGAAGTTTTCTAATACAATTGTTGGGGCTGGGAGAAGTGTGGATGGCAAAGGAATAGTCAGTGCAGATTCGCAGTATCCCCCACGGAGGCAGTGAGGTGTGCTGATGGGAAAGAAAAAAGTGTCCCCCAAATCCTTTATTTTAAATTCAAGGGCAGGCAGCAGAGTTTTAGATGACTTTTCTTTGAACTGTGCATTCATTACTTGGGTGGTATACTTTAAAACTTTAAAGATATTTTTAAAAGACAAGGGCTATGGGAGCTCCCGCTGTAAAAATACTGATAATGTCTAGGCGTGGTGGCTCATGCCTGTAATCCCAGCACTCTGGAGGCTGAGGCAGGAGGATCACTGTGAGTTCGAGACCAACCTGGGCTACACGGTGAGTTCCAGGTCAGTCTCAACTACATAGTGAGACCCTGTCTCAAAAAAACAAAACAAAAAAACTGATGATGAAAGAAGGGGCGGGTCCCCAACTCTCCTGTGCCCACTCAGCTTCTCCTGAAGGCTTCCTCGTCCATGTAACCAGAGAGAAGACATCTTAATTAATATTCTCCACTCCATACCGGAGATTAGACCCAGTGAGCTATATCCCCAGCCCTTGTATTATTTTAAATTAAATTAATTAATTTACTTATTTATTTTGTGGTACTGGGAATTTAATTCAGGTATTTTTCCTTTAGCTGTGTCCCCAGGCTCCCCCCTTTTTTTAACTTTTAAATTTTGAGACAGCCTATCACTAATTCACTAGGTTAGACTCCAGTTTGTAATTTTCTAGCCTATACCACAATGCTTGTCCCAGCCTTTTTTAGTTTTCTTTATTTTGAGACAGGTTCTAGTTAAATCGCTCAGATTGGACTCAAACTGTGTTCTACCTTTTCTCAACTTCTGGAGTCCTGGGATTATATATAGGTTGGCTTTAATCAGTCTACTTAACCTGAAAAACAAAATCTTGTGAACATTTGATTAAATTTTTTATTTTATGCATTTCCACGGACCTTGTAAATCTTCCCATAAAGTTTTTATTTATTTATTTAAAAAAATTTTTTTTGGTCTTTTCTGCTAATTTTTTTTTTTTTTTTTTTTTTTAGGGGATCGAACTTGGGTGCTTGTGCTTACAAGGCAGGCGGCAGAACCACTGAGCTAAATCCCCAGCCCATAAAGTTGTTATTTTTGTACTGGCAGTTGAACCCAGGGTCATTCTACCAGTGAGCTACAACCTCAGGAGCCCTTTTATTCTGACAGTGTCTTGCTAGGTTGCCAAGGCTGGCTTTCAACTGGGAATCCTATCTCAGCCTCCTGAGTAGCTGGCTAATACCCACCTCCAGAAAGCTTTTTTTTTTTTAGCCAGGGATCAAACCTGGGACCTTGTGCTTGTCAAGTAGGTGGCGGAACCACTGAGCTAAATCCCTGGCCCAAGCTTTTTTTTTTCCTCTATATTTATTTTACTCCTAATACAGTATTTTTCAGTTTTTATGGCTGGTAAAAATTTTAAGTTTATTTTTAGAGTTGGTGTATAGTAATGCAGTGGGCCCGAATCCCAAGACTCTGGGAGGCTGAGGCACCAGGATTATAAGTTTCATGCAGCCTAAATTTAGAAATTTAGGGAGACTCTGTCTAAAATTTAAAAGGAGAGGGATGGGGATGTAGCTAAGTGCAAAGGCCTTGGGTTAAATTCCCAGTAACACCACACACACACACACACACAGAATACAGTGGAGTCTATTTTATGTTTGTTTTTGTTTTTTTAGATGGGGTCTCACTATGTAGTTGAGACTGACCTGGAACTCACTATGTAGCCCAGGCTGGTCTTGAACTCGCAGTGATCCTCCTGCCTCAGCCTCCCAAGTACTGGGATTACAGACGTGTACCACCACATCTGGTTTTTCTCTTAGGAAGTTTTGAACCAGGGTCTGCATTTTCACTGTGCACCGGGCCTCATAGTTCTCAGCTAGGAGTTCTTTAGATGAAACTACTTCCAATCTATTGCTGGTTCACTGCTTTGTTTCCCTTCGTATAAATGGGCATTGAGATGTTCCTGAGTTCTCTCTCTCTCTCACGCTCATGCTCTCTCTCTGTGTCTCTTTTTTGGTACCAGGATCAAACTTGGGACCTTGTGCTCATGAGGCAGGTGGTAGAATGACTGAGTTAAATATCCGGCCCCTAAGTTCTCTTTTTTAATGTATTAATGTGGAAAAATAATACTAACAGACTTAGTAATGACAGATTATTTCAGCATTCATAGCCCAAACCCAATTTGGCAATAATGTTTTCTTTTTAATTTTTAAATTTTTTATTTTTTGTCTTTGCAATCTTGGGAATCAAACCTTGGGCCTGGTACATTCTAGGGAACTGCTCTGCCACTAAAGTACACTCTCAGCCCCAATGATGTATTTTTTAGTGGATTTTTTTTTGTGTGTGTGTGTGTTTTTGTTTTTGAGACAGGGTCTCACTATGTAGTTGAGAGTGACCTGGAACTCACTATGTACCCCAGGCTGATCTCGAACTAACAGTGATCCTCCTGCCTCAGCCTCCCGAGTGCTGGGATTATAGGCGTGTGCCACCATGCCCAGCATGGATTTTTTTTAGAACAGTTTTAATTTTGTAGAAAAGTTATAAAGATAGTTCAGTGTTTCCAATCAGCCTAGGGTTCTTTCACTCAATTCAGATGGAAATCATGAATCAGAAAGTATAGCTCTGCTAGCAGTCTTGGTGTCACCAGGTAATTCTGGGAGCCAGAGAGCAGCTGCTGGTGTCTGTCAGTGCTGACTGCTGCCTTCTAGAGCTCATCAGTGTTAACAGCTATTAATGGTGTTTATCAGTCTTTCTCTGGGAAAGACCACTCTGTCCACACTACTCACGATAAAAATCCTAAATGGATTTACAGGCCTTTGAGTTGAGTGAGTCTCATGTAACAGGGCCTGTGCTGCAGCACACAGGGATCAGTACACAGGATGGAGCCTCCTGGACTGAAACCTGAGAAGTAATGGAGAGCGCTGCTTGGATGGCAGCTGCAGGCCTGTTTCAGGGCGGGCAGGGTAGAAAGCTTGCTATGAATGTTGATGTCTTAGTTACTCTTCTCCCCTTGATGAGAGAAAATACCTGACACTCAAAGTTAAAGGGGAAAAGGTTTATTTGGCTTACAGTCTGTAGAGGTTTCCATCCGTAATTGGCTGGCTCCAAGGCTGGGTGGCAGAGGGGCAGCAATTCATGGTGGCGGAAGACAGTAAAAGCAACAATGGACTTTGACAGTGTCTTTCTGCCCCTTTTATCTTATCTAGACTACTGGGATTAGGGCAGTGCCAAACCAGTCACTCCTGTGTACTGGTTTAGTAGTCACATGCCCTTAATCCCAGCAACACACACTCTAGATTCAGCCACCTCTGAAAAAGGGAACCCCACCTCATCCATATGAGGTTTTGGGGGATATCTAAACATAAGCCATAACTGTTGGGTATGCAGATAAGAGGCCCAGATCCCCCGCTTCCTGACCGTAGCCACTCCAGGGTGCCCTCTCCCTTTTTCCAGAGGGGAACAGCATTGGCTGAAGTGGTGGGACTTAGGGAAGGCACCCTGCTGCCTGTCTGGCTGCGCTCGTGTTGGAGTGGAGAGTGGTGCTTTGATAGGCAGGGAGGACACTAAAGCAGACTGTTGCAGTCCATTGAGGTGGGGTGAGGGGGCTGGGGGAGAAAAGGGAAACGAGGGACAGGGGCCTGACAGCCACTGGCCAATCCACCATCTCCCTCCAGCCACCTCTGAGACATTAGAAAGTCAGGCGCTTCTCATCTGTCTCACGTGCATCCCACACCCATTGCCCCTAGCGCTGAGGGGACCAGTAACAATATATTATCTAAAATTTATGGTCTGTAAAAAAAAGAAAGTCTGGGCTCTAACAACAACTAAAAATTATGAGACATACAAAGAAGTAAGAAAGTATGACTCATGTGCTGAGAAAAAAATCAGACAATACAGTCAGCCTGTGAAAATGACCAGATGGCAGATTTAACAGGCACAGCCTTCAGCGTAGCCATTACACATAAATTCAAGGAGCCAAATGAAACTACAGATAGAGAAGAAAAGAATGGTGTGAGGATAATGTCACATGCAAAATAGAATACTAATGAAAAGATAGAAATTATTTTTTAAAAAAGGGCCAGATAGGCTGTATTGTGAGGGTGATGAAGCAGAATAAAGTTTAAAAAATTTAAAAGACCAAATGAAAATGCTAGAATTGAGAAGTACAATTATTGAAATGAGCACTTATTTAGATGGTCCTAACACTAGACATGAACTGGCACGAGAAAGAATTAGAAAAAAAAATTTTTTGGTACCGGGGATCAAACTTGGGTCCCTGCACTTTCCAGGCAAGTGGTAGAACCACAGAGCTAAATCCCCAGCCCGAGAATTAGTAAATTTGAAGATAGATTGATAAGAGATGATATACAAAAAGAAAAGAAACAAAGAACAGAAAGAAGGTAAAATGATGAAAAACTAAAAGCCTCAGAGAAATGCAGGGCAGTATT